ATTCCTGAGGGCACGATTCACTGAGAGAGATCCTTGTACTGACAAAGGGGCTCCCTGCCTCTGTCAGATGGGACAGAAGACTATCTTTCAGGCAGATTAGGAAAAAACTCTCAAACTGTGTTTGTTGTATTAATAGGAGGACACTGCTAAAACAGGCCATCCAGCCCCAGGAAGAATGATCGGGCAGGCAATAACTCCAGCACTTAGGAGAATATGAGAAGGGAGATTACCTCTTAACCTTGATTTTTTGTAACAGATATTCCAGTGTTCAGATCTTAGACATTTTGTTAAGAAACGTTTACTAAAATCTAAGTATCAACCAGAGATCCAGCCAGTAGCCTAAGGGTAGGACCAATCTGAAGTAATGCTAGACATCATGCCTCACTTGCACAAAGTTTAGTCAGCAAGAGTTCATCTATAATCAGCAGAGACATCAGCATGACCAGAGGGTGATTTCTCCCATCCTAAAACAAGCATCTATCAGATTGCTAATTTAGACAAGGAGCCTATTTTTAGATGGCTGTAATTAGGTAAAACAAATCCCATTGTAAGAGTCAGTATCTGTTGCCGACACAGTCTTTTACGCGCGGCTATTTAAAGCTACATCTCAATTACATTCTCCCTCCAAACATCATCTCTGTGCTGAAAAATAAAAGAAGTTTAAAAGTAACTATCCTAAAAGTTCAATTACATTTCCTTCTTGCCTCTTATTGACTTCATCTTTTCTCCAATAGGGCCTGGCAAAGTGTCTGGGAGCACTGATTCCCTTTTGCTTAGAAATATTCCTTTGCAACTAATGACATGAAATTCTCATGTTGCCACAGTCGCATGTGCCCCAACAAAACAGATTGAGACACATAAGCCAGGTACATGCAAATCTGAAACCCTGATGACTGAAATATAATTGCTTTTACTGCTGGTCACAATGCATTAAGCAGCCAAATGCCTTTCAGTCTCAATAATCTCAAAAATGACTTCTTAGTCGCACAATGAAATGTTATGTAAAAGAAGCATGATTTTTACTAAGTGAGGCCTTGATAACTCCTGAAATTGCATCTTACTTTCCAAGTAAGAAAAAGCAAAGGCAGCACTGGAATGGAAACACACCTGAAATTCTGCATGAATTGCCGAAATTTGCTGGCTCTCTTGGCCAACGGCACAATGACATTAATAAGTGTGTCAGCCATATTGACATTTTCATTTTTCACTTTCATTACAGGACCGAATGGACGGAATAAAACAATCTTCTTGAACTGATGTTTTGTGTCTCCCTTGAAAGTCAGCTCATACAACGTGCCTTTGTCTTTTTCTGTGCGGTAGATCCCTGCGTGAAAACAAGAGAGACGAGATTTTGGATTAAAGCTGGGCTCCTGGGGGGAAAAAAAGGATGCAGTTCTCATATGTTACACCAAAGCTGAAAAGGCAGCAGGGACACGAGATATTTACTTTTAAATTAGTACGCAATCCACCATCGTTTGAGGAGGCTGTCAGTCTGACAGGGACACAGCCCCAAGTTGCAGGAGCTATTTGGTATTCTCGAAGGCACATTCCTAGGCTTGGCTGAGTTACAAACCCCTGAAGGTTACCAATTGCTCACATTCAGTATAACCCAGCAGACATACTGTCCTTATTTTTCAGACTGCTCCAATTGCACACTGCAGGCATGCATGGTAATGGTGATGCAGAGAGACTGCGAAAGGCAGCCTGCCTCTCTGCAATATGAGTGATTAGGCCATCTCCCAGAAAAGCAATTTCCTGATGAGCACATTCATTTCCTTCTTTCTGGAAGGTTCTCTTGAACGTCCCCTCATAAAACTATGCAACCAGGCCCCAGCAGCCATCAACCTCACCCACTGCCAATCAGGACAAAACTCTCCTGTTACTCAACTCTCAAGAGACACTATTTTCTTTGTGGCAATGATGCCCACTCCTGGGTGACTAATGGACTGCAAGGATGATTCGATGGAGTTTGTCAGAAGGCAGACCCAGGACACAATCCCAGAGACTGCATTAGACAGTCTCCAAGGATATTTAATTCATACAAGCATGTACTTATTTCATGCATGCAATGAACTTGCAACATACTGGATGGCTGAAATTGGTCCCATGCTGAGGGCTGGCATGAACTATAGAAGTATTGGTCATGTCCTACTGAAACACTATTCTGATACCTTAAATGAGATAAAGTTGGCAAAAAGGCTATAGATTTCACCCACTCTAATTGACACTTCAGTCCCTACAGTGCATACTGAAAGAAAGCTTTTTCCTAGTTAGATCCATTAGGTTTAAGAAGGAATAATGAAACGCTAATTCTAACTACTTGTTAAGCCACTGTAAGTACCCTAACTTCATCAGTAGAAGAGTATAATTGCACAGCCTTCCACCTCTTGCAGAAACTCTAGAGACAAACAAAACCTCTCTGGAAAAAAACTCCTCCACTTGACTTGTTTCTTATTTTTGTTCCTCTCCATCTGGTTATGAAGAACAGTTTAACCAAAATAATACTTTTTTTTTTTTAATCATCTTAGTGATTCGCTGACGTGTAACATTGCTGTGCATCTGAACCATAGACTGTCAGCTCTGTCTGTATTTCTTGTGAAGGTCTGGGTCAAAGGTTTCTTTGAACAGCAAAATGACATAAGCTCTTCATCTTGTATCGTAGCTTTTACATTGGTATGTCCAGAACATCCAAACGATTAATGAGGTGTGATTTTATCTGGCTGGAGTTCTGTGGACTGTCTTATCTTCACTATCATCGTGTAAGTGTTTTATTCTTAATGAACACTTCAGTTGGTTAATACTATATGCAGATTCACTGATCTGTTATTCACTTCATGTTTTATTTTTAATATAAGCTGATTCAACAAATGCTACAATCCTCCCCTCCAGCATAGCAGATTAATCTAGTGAGATAGCAGCTCCATCATTCTTTTACTGCTAATCTTTTAAAGCTGTGCCTTTGACTCCCCCTAGCTTTTTCTACGTAGTCTGCCCAAGGTGCAGACCATGAACTACATCTGTTACTGAACTTGAGCCTGCACTTGAGATCATCTGAATGGTGACCTAATAGTCCGGCATCTCCTGCTCCTGGTGGCCAGAGAATGGAAATCTGGGCCTTTGAATTCTGCTCACCCATTTACTCTTACAGAAAGCCTGCTGATGATCCAAGTGTGTTGCTGGTTGCGCTCATTTACTCAGGCAGTTTCAGAACAGAGGTCTTGCCAAGGAAGTTTGTGTTGTGGAAGGTTAAGGTAGCCTTTTGACATTAAGCTAAACAAAAATCTAAATTAAATCTGATTTGCAATTTCTCTAGAGAGAAATGGATAGGACTCTCTAATGTGTTTGACATAGTGAACTGGCATTTCTCATAATAACAAACATCTAAATTAAACTGACCAATTTAATAATATCTATCACACAACATCTCAAAATCTTTGCTTCTACATCCTCTTCTACCCCAACCAAGAAACAATGAGCCCACAAATACCACTTCCCCAGAGATATGTACTACATATGTGGAATAAAGGGAGCTTTGCCAAATAAGAAAGAGAAACCTTAAAGCAGAATGCATGTTGTGATCTGAGGGGACCCTCCCAGTCCTATACACACATTAACAAAGGCTGCTTCTAACTGCAGTTTCGTTCTTGTTCAGGACTTCTACTATAGCTAAAAACAAGCAGCTTAGATGAAGGTAAGGTTCCCTTGTGCAAGATGGTAATCCAAGAATTTATAATCGTGACATTTTACCTTGAAGAGAATTGCATGCAAGTTTAATGCATGTAATTAAATATGGTTATTCTTGACACACATTTAAAGCATTTGTTTTCCTTTTTTAAAGCACCTTTTTCTCTTTTTAAATATCTTCTTTTTAGAAGCAGAAAACAAATTGATTTGCCCAAGGTCAGGCAGAGAGCCTTGGAAATGAGCCTGAATGTCTTGAGTCACTCTGGGGACTCACCCAGCAGACATCCTGCCTTTCACAAGCTTTTTCCATTTCCGAAGGCACTACTTCATTAGTGCCATCAGGACTTTTTACATGATCCAGAAAGATGTGTCAAGCAGCCTCAATGCTAAAAGATGAGCTACAAGGAGGGGAAAAGAATAGTTTAAAAAAAGTAAAGCAAAAAATCTTTTCCTGAAAAGGTAGCTCCTGAAATGAAAGCTTTGGAAAGGCTAGATGGTCACTATGGATAAAAGAAGGTTAATTGATCATCTATTGCTTCCATTACAGCAGCTATGTTTCAGAATATGCACCGTTCCTTTCAGAGGCAGGGAGAAAAGTCAAAGCCTGTGAAAACCCAATGTAAAAAAGTGAATAGGAGCTTTGGGTCAGCAGAGAGACTGGCCCTAAAATGAAAGAAAAGGACAAGTGAGAAGCAAAAAAAGACCTGGGCTGAAGAGTTGACTAAAGAGCGCTTAGTGTACAGTCAACAGAGCAGCACCTCCCAGGGCTCTCTAAAGAAACAGAAAATACCTGATCTCTATTCAGCAGGGTAGGCAAATGAGTTTCAGAGATCTACACGGAACTGATAACTAGCAAACAGCCACACAACCTTAACAAAATGCTGTTGAGTGGATGACAATTTTAGCCTTAGTCAGTTCCACAGATGGTAAGTTTCAGGTCTTCCACTGTCCATAGAAACACTCCCTGGACCTGTGCTCATTACTTATATTCTGTTAGATGTTGTAGGAACCTATACTGTAGCACCAGTATAGGTTAGGGGTGGACCTGCTGGGAAGTAGTTCTGAGGAGAAGGATCTGGGGGTCCTGGTAGACAGTAGATTATCCATGAGCCAGCAATGTGCCCTTGTTGCCAAAAAGGCCAATGGAATCCTGGGCTGCATAGGGAAGAGTGTGACCAGTAGGTCGAGGGAGGTCATTCTCCCCCTCTACTTGGCACTGGTGAGGCCACAACTGGAATACTGTGTCCAGTTTTGGCCTCCCTAGTTCAAGAAAGACAGGGAACTGCTGGAGAGAGTCCAGCGAAGGGCAACCAAGATGATTGAGGGATTGGAGCATCTCCCTTATGAGGAAAGGCTGAGAGAGCTGGGACTCTTTAGCTGGAGAAGAGAAGGCTGAGGGGAGACCTTATTACTACTTACAAATATCTAAAGGGTGGGCTGAAGGAGGATGGAGCCAGACTCTTCTCGGTGGTTCCCAGTGACAGGACAGGAAGTTCCATTCCAACACACGGAAAAACTTCTTTAGAGTTCGGGTGGCAGAGCACTGGCACAGGCTGCCCAGGGAGGTTGTGGAGTCCCCTTCTCTGGAGATTTTCAAGACCCGCCTGGATGCAGTCCTGAGTAACGTGTTCTGGGCAATCCTGCTTTAGCAGGGGAGTTGGACTAGATGATCTCTAGAGGTCCCTTCCAACTCTGAAGATTCTGTGATTCTGTGATTCAGTGAACCACTATTAGGATTTATCAGCATATAAAATATAGCATCTTATCTTTTGAGGATGTGCATCATCCTTTCTCCCAGTAAGCTTCCAGGGCAAAACTGCATCAGTTAGCCCAACACCACTAGTTGTCAATTTGAGAAAGCAAAGCTACGCCTTTTCATTTGTCTCTGAGACCTTATTTAAAATTCCAGCCACTAGACAGCCATGTATTTCAGGTAGGAAAACTTATGATACAGCATATTCGCAGTGCCATGGCAGGGCATTTCTGAAGCAATCCAGGGATTTTCTAGAAC